ATATTGCTTATTGGTTGCAATCATAATTGTCCTCAACAAAGGGATAGAAAAATACATTCTGAGCAAGAAAAATTGCAAGAGATAGACAAACAGTAGGATTTAGCAAATATCTTTAAAGTTTTTCCCCCCATTAAACCTAATAGAAAGAAAAAATCAAAATTTCACAAACTAAAAAAAACTTTAGGTCCCTTCATGCATTCATATCATACATGAAAAAATATTTTATGTAAAAATATTGACTAAGTATGAAAAATAGTTTTTCGGAATAATCATTTTCTCAAGATAATTTTTGGCGGCTTTTATTCCTTACACATCAAATAAGAAAACTTGATTTTATGGGATTTTAGTATGAAGTATATATTGACTTAATGAGCCATCATTTTTAGCCTAAATCGTATTTTGCACTAAAATCGATTTTTCATATTTTGATTTGGTAGGAATTTGATTTTCTAGTATTTTTATTTGAATCCAAATAGGGGGTACTTCCTTATTTACATTGTAAACTTAATTAAATGGAGTAATATAAAAAATAAATTAAAGTAAAAGGAGAAAGACATTTACTTAAATGTTGAAAATGGAAATAAGGTAATCTGTATACCTGGAGTGCACCACTACCAACAAATGGGAAATTTGAAGCACCTCATTATGCCTTCATAGATCCTCCACAACACATGTGGGTACATATCAAAACGTAAAGTATTTGAAATAATATATATATATATATATATATATATACAAATACATAACAGTATATTACTTTTAAAATATTAAAAAATTGAGTGGGGGCCCGTGACCACACTGGTCCCAGTGTGGCTCCGCCCCTGATTACATCATAGCTAAATTGAACCTGTATCTAAGAACCCTATATTAAGGGATATTGGGGGAGAGGTGGGGAGAAGCGAAGCAAAAGCTTATCCAACAATTATAAGATCAAATAAAATAGATATTGTACCTTGAGTTTTTATTATAGGACGCCAAACATATAAGTGGCATGTACAACAATAAGCTTCTAAGAAGTGACAACTTTAGGAAAGTTATACAATATCGTGAACGCGTACAATTAAGAATTTATGTCCATTGTTTCACTTTCCTATCAAATATTCCGCTTCCATAAGTAGAAATGAAAATCTCAACTAGAAGAGGAAATTGCATCCAAATAAATAAGGTGATTGGAACACTAGCGAGGAAAATGATTGGAATAACAATCCACAATTGTTCATGGATCATAATGAAAAGGGCAGAAGAGAAGGCAACCATCATGGCGGCAATAGAGATGAATAAGGTGGAAAGACCTATTATCATCTTTGTTGGTAAAGATTTGAGGAAATCATCTTCTGCATAACGTGATGTAAGGATTCCCAAAAACATCAACACAGAAGTTGTGGAAGAAAAGAGCGATATAGCATCTGAAACTATAAACACCATGAATAACTTTCTACTCAAGAATATAGGAAGCCCTGTTTCTCCATTGTTTCCACCAGGAACTGTAAATACTGAAGCAAACATGATGGTAATAATGAGAGCACCTACAACTGTACAGGATGTTGCGGTTTCTTTCATCCACCTTTCTCCTTCCTTCACCAAGTCCTTGTGGTTCTTGGTAAACAAAACACGTGATGTCAAATATTCCGCATTTAAAGAGTCTCTGTGCTTGGGAAATACCATAGTCTCCACCTCCTACATTTTGTTCAACAAAAGATCCAAGTGATTACAAGGTTATGACTATTTTTACTACCAACGACCCTTCAATCCTTGAATTTTGAGAGGCCATATAAACTCCATTAAGAAAAGAGGTACAAGAAGACTAGCATCCTGACCATAGAGTAACCTTACAAAGTTTATCCATATTGAAAAACCATTTGTGCATCAGCAAGAAGTTGCAGTATTTACAAAAAGCAGTACGTTCGTTATTTATTTGTGAAAGGGTAATGATAGGCTTACCACATTTTTCATACCACATGTGTACCACATCTCTAATAGAGATGGAACCCACCAATACAATGGGGCTCACCTCTATTAGAGAGGTAGTACACATGTGGTATGAAAAATGTGGTAAGCCTAGCATTTTCCTTTGTTGAAAAGGTTAGTTCATTTGCAAGGATGACCACTGAGCGGACCATTATGATTAGTGAATTATTACTATTTACAAAAAAGAAAGACTTTTTATCATAAATGGTCCTTGAGATTTGCAAAATTATCACATTTCGTCCCTAACGTTTTTTTTGTAACACTAATGGTCCTTAAGATTACTCTGCACACATCAAAATAGTCCCTGCTGTTAGCTTCCGTCAAATTTTCTATTAAATTGTTGACGTGACATGTGTGGATCACGTGGCTTTAAATAAAATAAAATATATTTTAAATATTTTAAAACTTAAAATACATTTTAAAAAATAAAAATAATTAAGTATTTTTAGGAAAAAAAAAACCCTACAACTATATAATGAGAGCACCTACAACTGTACAGGATGTTGCGGTTTCTTTCATCCACCTTTCTCCTTCCTTCACCAAGTCCTTGTGGTTCTTGGTAAACAAAACACGTGGTGTCAAATATTCGGCATTTAAAGCTTCTCTGAGCCTGGGAAATACCATAGTCTCCACCTCCTACATTTTGTTCAACAAAAGATCCATGTGATTACAAGGTTATTACTCTATTTTTAGTACCAACCCTTCAATCCTTGAATTTTGAGAGGCCATATAAACTCCATTAAGAAAAGAGGTACAAGAAGACTAGAATCCTCCTGACCATAGAGTAACCTTACAAAGTTTATCCATATTGAAAAACCATTTTTTATCACCAAGAAGTTGCAGTATTTACCGAAAGCAGTATGTTCGTTATTTATTTGTGAAAAGGTTAGTTCTTTTGCAAGGATGACCGTTGAGCGGACCATTATGATTAATGAATTATTACTTTTTACAACAAAGGAAAGGTCATTAGGAGGATATATATATATATATAAATTCTCCTATGTGTACATTCCATGTATTTTCTACTACCCCTCCCTTTTCTGTGCTTATTTATAATAGCAAAATAACGTGCGGACATCCGGATGAGAAAATATCATATATAGAAAAACAAATTAAGAAAAAAAAAGATAACTCTATAGGGATATATTCTGACCTTAAACCATTGCAATTCTCTCTGCATCTGCAAAGCTGCACCTGAGATAGTATCAAGCTTTGCTAATGGGGATAGCATCCCTGCTACATGTAACATGCCATTGTTAGAACTATCTGAAACATTTCCAATCCAACTTCTTTTTCTCTTATCAAGTCTATAAATCAGGCTATAAACTTTTTCTTGACGACATTCAATGGCAAAATGAAATATATTCTTTCTCATTCGGTTTTCAGCCCGCCAGAGATGTGGACATTCTTTTAATAAATGATCAACAAACTCAAAAATCCCTCGCTCGATAGCTCGGAAGATTGCTTCATATACATCTTCCAATTCTTTACCATATGAAGGTCTTATCACTTCACACATGCGATCTAGAATTTCCAGGGATTGGATATGCATCAATTTCATTTCACATATGCGGTTAATTCCTAGGTTGGCATTGAAAAAAAAGAGTCAAACAACTACATCAAGAAAAAATCGATTGTGAAAACCATTAATGAGGAAGAAAACGGCAATACGAAAAGAATGTAGTATATACCCAAAAGTTCATGAAGATTCGAGATCAGACCTTGCAATAAACCTAGCACTGCAATGGAAATTCAAAATCCAAATATAATGGGAAAGTTATTTTTCCCATTATAATTTATTAGGAAAAAAGAAAGAAAGCAGAATTTGATTTTTGTGGGTCACAACATACCTGACCAAGTAATTTCCCTTCGATTCCCTTCTTCGTTTCCTTCATTTTGAACACTTAATCGAACATCACTTATGGCACGAGAAGGGTCTATGTGTATACCTTTCACGAAAAAGACAATAACCATAATCAATGCCTTAAATTACTATTTCTACTACGACCAGTCGTTTCCGAAACTGACGACTGATTGCTTCTGCTTCCTCCTTCCTATTTCCACATTTTTTAAGTCGAGCCAACTCCAACAGGCTCCGCCACTATAGATGAGTGTGGATAATAGTGAACCAAAAATTGATTTAAAAAAATAAGTACGAGGAAAGAGAATGTGGATACTGACATTTATAGATACATTGTTGCCAGAATTTGAGGTGTGTGCCACTTGGGAATGCAGAAGGCAAAAATGCCAAAGCATGTATCGGGGTTACCCCATAGGTGTCTTGAGTAAGGACCAGTTGCGGGCAACGCCGAATTAATTCTTGTGCCATGTCTGTAGTAGAGAAAAGATGTTCTATAACGCAAAACATATTAATAAAATTCGTTGTTTTAAGTTAAAACTTATACCAAAATTTTTGGCACAAATATATTGGCAAAGAAGTCCAGCGCCGTATGGACCTTTCTCAGGCATTAGATCTTCGATTGGAGTGACGGAGTAGAGATAACGAACGACATCCCAATGTTCATTGAAACAAGCCAAGAGAATTGGAGTCAAATTGTTGTTCTCAATGGGAATAGTAAGTATTTTCTTGCTCTTCCTAACCATGCATTCTACCATTTTAATATTTCCTTGATTTGCAGCAAGAGCAAGAGCGGTGCAGCCTAAAAATTTTATTTCCAACTCTTCCTCTGTCATCAACTGCACAATCTCTTCCACAATATGCTCGTGCTCTAGTTCTATTGCCATGTGAAGAGCTGTCTTGTTTGAGTACGGATGTCTTGCTCTTACTGCATTGGGATGTAGGATAAGAAACTCCTTCGCTTTATTCCGATCCCCACTCCACACAGCATCGAACAACGGCTGATATTGATGGAAGTCATTGTAATATCCTGCGCCAAGTTTGTTTAATTAGTTACTTCAGAGAACATAAATATATGCATTTATTTCTTGTTTTAACAATTGAATAAATATATCCTGGGCCAAGAGCTTTTTTATTTTATTTTTATTTTGTATTTAGTCATATTAATCGTAATATGTAGCTAGAGATGTAAACAAATCGGATGTGGAGTGGATTAGCATGCATTCGGTTTATCCTATATAAAACATATCATTCCTTCGTACCTGCAATAAAAAAAAATGATTAAAAGAAATGTAATTTTTACTAATTGCCAATAAAAATAAAATAAAAATATAAAAAGGTTCCATGCAAAGCATTCCATTGGAGTTTGAAGTGGATGCCAGCAAGAATTAATGAGATTTTCTATTTAAACTCCACACTTCTCTTAGTTCACCCCATGTTCTAAGTTCACCCCATCTTTTAATTTAAATTTTCACAATTTCTAAGAAAACCCCATTATCTTTCCAAATTATCCTTAAATAAACCCCAAACTGAAAAAATAAGAAATAAAAGAGATTTTCTATTTAAACCCCACAATTTTCTTTGTTCCAAGCAAAAAAAACACAAACAAATGGAACCTCAAACCCGAAATTTAATACTTTCTAGAGAAAGAGAAGAACTTTACCTCTCTCCAAGTAGAGGAGTTTGTCCTAATCTGATCCAATTTATACTTTACCTCTGTCCTAATCCAATTTAAATAGGATGTAGAGGAGTTTGTATTTTTCTAAAACTTAATTAATATGAAGAGTGGTGGGTTGTGTGGGAGTGTGTATAGATGTACTATGGTTAATTATTAAGTTGGATGATCTTTTTTATCTTTTTACACAATAACAAAACTTACATCTTAATAATTTAAGTATTGGGGTGAACAAAGAGAAATGCGGGGCTTAAATATTGACCCGCACATGCCAGTAGATGTAATATTACATGCATAACTCCATTGTGTACCGTACAATTTATGACTGTAGGTAGAAAACAACGTCTATGCAAACATCATCCAAACCAACCCAATAATACGGACCAAACTCCACCGACAATCACTCACATCACCAAAGATAAAATAAAAAATTCATTTTCCATTAATTAAACTCTAAAGTACCACAGGAAAAGGGGTATTTTCGTAAACCCAATTTAATCAGTCAGAAAGGGAGGGAGGATTAATATTAATGCCTGAATTTCAATTTTCAAGACAAACGATTAATTGTTGGGGTGTTTAAAAGAAGTTGCTAAAGGTTAACATTTGATTTGACGCCTATCTGAAATTTCGTTCATGCAGCTGTATTTAACAGTATACCTGGGTTGTTTGATGAGGTTGCAGATTGAACAGGCGAATTACTTGGAACAAATGGTTGTGGCTTGAACTTCTCTGCCAAAGTATCCCAAGCAATTTTGGCTGAAGTAATCTCCTTAATCACTGAAAACGCATATGGCCCGCATGAAATTTGGATCGCATGTAAAGCCACGGCAGTCTTCTTCCTCCAAGCCTTGACGAACTGATCAGCTTCTGCTTCTGCTATAGGAGGTTCAGCCGTAGCCTCCACTACATCCCAAAGGTCTTGAGCCAACAAGTAATTTTTAACCAATGCACTCCAATGCTCATAGTTACCCTTGTTAAGAACTTCCACAACAATTGCACCCTCAGGAACCACCATTCTTACTGCTATTCACCACCAGATATGAGAGGCCAAAAGCTGCCCAGGCTTGCTATTTTTCTTTAGACCAAACAACTAGTTCTTCTTGCTTTTGCTTTTTAAGTCTTTGTTCGCATGTGAAATCTATATATATAAAATAAAAGGTAAAGAATGGTAAAATTAATTTTAAAATAAAATTATACTTTTTAAAAAAAATTTCTAAAAAACACGTACAAAAAGGCTAATCTTCTTGATTGGAAATCTTACCAAAGATTTTACTTCATTATTGTAGGGAAACAGCCTGGCGGTGGGATTTCGACCACAAAAAAAAAAGGGACACCGAACAAGATTGGAGTTGAGTCCATTAACCAATGAAAAAAGGCATTAACTTTAACAAAAGAAAAGTAAAAAAAGACGAGTCACATAACAATTGTTATTTCTCCAAAACGAGAAATTTTTGTAGGGACCCAGTACACTAGCTGGCTGGTGTACCCACCAATAAGAATAGGACACGTGTAATAATATATTTTTAGTATTTTAACTATTTGTTCAGTTACGAATCTTCGTTAGTCCTTTAGCTTTGTCTCTGTTACCAATCTTCAGTTAGGGTTTTGCTGTCTTCCCATTTTTATTTCTCGTTCTCCAAATTATCGAACTCCCCCTTGTTAAACTTAAAAGCACAATATGAGCAAAAGAGAGAATTGAGGAAGATTGGGGTCGAAATGGTGGGTTTTTTATATGGGTTTTGAGGAAGTTGAGGAGGTGGGTGTGGTTAGAAGTTGGGGAGAGAGTGAGGGTTGGGTGAGGAATTGATGGGGTTTTGGGTGCGCTTGGAAGTGTTGGGTTTGGGATTGGAGAGAGCACTGGTTTTGGGTTCTTAGGCGTTTGCTTTTGTTTTCCATAACGATTAGAAGTTATTCTCAAAAGCGAATCTGGTGCCAAACAAAAGAAGAAGCAATGGGAGCCTCTAGTCCACCAAGGCTTTCTGGGATGCAGAAACAAGTTCTTAGTCTATACAGAGGGTTTCTGAGGGCAGCCCGTGCCAAATCTGCTGAAGATCGACAACAGATTGAGTCACTTGTGTCAAGTGAGTTCCGCTGCAATGCCAAGGAGGTAGACCGCAAAAATTTCCCTTACATTGAATACTTGCTTCGCTGCGCTAAGAAACAGCTTGATCAGCTCAGGAGCCCCGATTTTGTGAGATGATAATGAATAACTATAGGAAGAAAAAAAAAAGAAATTAAAAGAAATTAAAAGAAAAAATTAAAATTAAAAAACGATGCTGGAGCAAAGCCAATACATATGCATAAGTTGATGTTTGGGGAGGCAACCCCCAATGTTCAAAGAACCTCGAGCAAAACCAATATAATAATCTAATGAGCCAAAACTCATGAAACAGTAACCCAAAAATAACTGAGCAAAGCATATATAAAAATATATATGTATATTACACTCAAAAGTAACTCAAACCACAATATAATAATCCAATGAAACCACAACTCATGAAAGAGACCCGGAAACTAAAAAAGTAAAGACATGTGGGAGTAGGGTGCAGGTCATCACCTTTTTCTTTGTCCATGAAAACGTACAGGAGGCTGCTGTATCTGACGGCAAAAGGGTTAGTGTCAGAGAAAATTTGTGGGTTTTGTTTGAAAAACTAAAATTTGATAAATAAAAAATGGCTAACAGATGCAGCGAAAGACTAACGGAGTTAAAAGGCTAACAGAGTTAAAAGTTACTGCAATTTTAAAGCTAAAAATAAATTATTACATGTGTCCTATTCCTATTGGTGGGTAGGTCCCTACAAAAATTGCGGTCTTCTTCCTTTTACAAGATAGTGGCGGTTCTCCTTTTACAGGATATCAAATGTTTAATGCTCCAGATAGCTATAGTGGCCTAAGCTTGAACATGATAGGGAAGATTGTTAGGTGGTGTTTTAGTTTGGCTTATTTACTATAATACCTCCTGAAATTTCAGTCAAATCTCACTTTATCCCCCAAAGTTAAAATGATCCACTTAACCCCCTTGATTGTGATTTCATATTCCACTTTACCCCCTACCATTATCTCCAGTAATAACTCTATTAGTTTTGATGATGTGACATGTTTATTTTATTTTTTTTTGTAACAAGTGCTGATGTGTCATGTGTAGAGCCTACTTTTTTTTTCTCTGAAGTGGAATACAATTTTTTTTTTTCGAAAAAGTGGAATAAAATAATGTAATTCCTTTTTTTTTTCTTTTTTTTTCCCTTTCTTTCTCTCTCTCCCCATCTAAATCTATCTGGTTCTCTTTCATTTTCTCTCTTCCCTTCAGCGATTTCTCTAGCTCTCTTTCCTTTTATATCTATCCTACATAATATATGAAGAAAAAAAATTGGATATGTGAATTTCAATATTGAATATGAAATCACAGAATTATGTTTTCAAAGTTGAAGGCTTATCTTTGGGTGTTCAAACACTCCCCTTCTCTCACACAAGCACCATATAACAACCAACTCAAATCACCCAAAAACTCATCAAATTCAATCCCCACCTCAACAATAACAAAATCTTTCAATTCTTCACACCCAAACCCAAAAACCCATAAACTCAATTCACCAATTTCCCCATAAACAACACCCAAAAATAATGAAAAATCTAATTTTGGCCCTTTTGATCTGCCTCCTGTTTGCTTTGTCAAATGGGTAAGGAGGAACCAAGGTCGGAGGCAGGCGACAGATCGAGACGAACAAGGAGGTTCAGGAGTCGGGGAGGTTTGTCTCAGCCGTGAAGGTTGTGAAGCTCGGAACAGAGAAAGAAGAAGGGAGAGATAAGGAGAGATAGGGAGGAGTTGTTGGGGAGGGGGTCGGGTACAAAGAAAGAGAGGGAGAGAAGAGAGAAGGGGAGGGGAAAGAAGTAATAATTTTCTAAACTTTTTTTTCCTATTTGTTATATTTATGAAAATAAAATATTTTATTATTTTTTACACATGACATACAAGAGTGGGTCATATTTGTGCCACATCATCATTTTAACAGAACTTTTTAACAGAGTTAACAGTTGAGGGTAAAGTGGAACACGAAACCATGGTCATGAGGGTTAAGTGAGTCATTTTAACTTTGGAGGGGTAAAGTGAGAATTGACTGAAGTTTCACGGGGTACTACAGTAAATAAGCCTTTTAGTTTTGTTGCATGTAGTGGTACTGATTTTCTTCTTGGGGTTTTTTAAGGTAAGGTTTTAACGAGGCCACATAGTGTAAAAAAAACATTACAGCTGATTCTTTTTGGATTTTTTCTTCAATTTAAAGGTTGATAGGTAAATTCAATGCAAGAAATGAGTTTTATTATAAATTTATTATTTTTTAAAATTAATATATTGTAAATGTTGAAATATATTAGGGGACACACGTAAAACCACAACACACCATTTAAATTATCAGATTAAGTAAGTTTCAACGATTAGAATTGCATTTGTTTAATGGCCAATTCTTTTCTTTCACACATCATTCAAGTAAACATCGGGAACCAACCAAGTAGCCCAACTTTTAAGGGCTCGTTTGGTATACCGTATTAGACTTTGGATAGGAGTAAATAGTCTATGTCAGGTGTTTGGTGTCAACTTGTATTATTTAATTACCCGACTATTTTATACGGGTTGGGCTTTTAATACTCTCCTTACCTGACTAACTAATACAACCCACACACCCCGGATTAGATAATACACGCTTAATTATACGGCTAGGGAAAAAAAATAAGCGTTCTACGAAAAAGGTCAAACACTCTTTTCATCTTCTTCTCCCTAGGGTTCTTCTCTGATATCTTCTCCACATGTTATTTTCTTCACTCTTCTCCAGGTATCCATCTCTCACACTCTCTTTCTTTTTCATACTCTCTCCAATATGCTTCTTCTTACTTCTTCTCTCACTACTACAAAAACCACTTTGCGCGACGAATGATTTTTGGTCGCGCAAAACTCGTGGAGAAAGGGTTTGCGCGACGGCCAAAATTATTCGTCGCACAAAGCCACTTTGCGCGACGAAGGATAACAACTTGCACGACGAATCATGACGACTTTGCGCGAAGAAAATAACAACTTTGCGCGACGAATATTAATTACTTCGCGCGACGAATCCTGAAAACTTTGCGCGACGGACAATAACAACTTTGCGTGACAAATATTAATTACTTCGCGCGACGAATCCTGAAAACTTTGCGCGACGGACAATAACAACTTTGCGTGACAAATATTAATTACTTCGCGCGACGAATCCTGAAAACTTTGCGCGACGGACAATAACAACTTTGCGTGACAAATATTAATTACTTCGCGCGACGAATCCTGAAAACTTTGCGCGACGGACAATAACAACTTTGCGTGACAAATATTAATTACTTTTTTAAACTAAAATAAACTAATTTAATAGTTTGCGCGACGAAATATTTTGTCGCGCAAGGTTTTTGACATTTTTTTTTATTTTTTCTCTTATATCAATTTCATTATATTAATTTTTTTAAATTTAATTTTAATTGTATGATTTTATTTTTCTTAATTACTTTAATTTAAATTGACATATTCAAAATAAAATTACATAAGAAAAATAGTGGTCAAATTATCCAATATACATAATATTCAAAATGTACACTTAAATTAACAAAGTACAATAATAAAATCTACAAGCATCTTATATCAAATCCTCAACTTTAGCCTCAACAATTCCCTACAAAAAAAAAAAACAAATATTGTCAAATAACAAAACAATAACATAAAATAATGACAAATAATTGGCATAAACTCAAAACTAACTCCAAAAACACATATCAATGAAAAAAATTTAAAATTTATAGAGAAGTGAGTGTGAGAGAATTAGAGATTATATTGGTCGCGCAAAGTCGAAATTTTTATTTCTTTTAAAAATCCCATTTTTGGTGCCCGCCAAATTTTTAGAGTATACTTTGCGCGACGAATAATTATATATTGGTCAGGCAAAGTCGAAATTTTTTTTTAACAATCCCATTTTTGGTGCCCGCCAAATTTTTAGAATATATACTTTGCGCGACGAATAATTATATATTGGTCGCGCAAAGTCGAAATTTTTTAAAAAAAATCCCATTTTTTGTGCCCGCCAAATTTTTAGAATATATACTTTGCACGACGAATATTTATATATTGGTCGCGCAAAGTCGAAATTTTTTTTAAAAAAATCCCATTTTTGGTGCCCTCCAAATTTTTAGAATATATACTTTGCGCGACGAATAATTATATATTGGTCGCGCAAAGTCGAAAATTTTTATAAAAAATCCCATTTTTGGTGCCCGCCAAATTTTTAGAATATATACTTTGCGCGACGAATAATTATATATTGGTCGCGCAAAGTCG